TTGAGCATGAACATTGTATCAGGATATCGTTTAATTTGAGATGGCTACTCATTTAAATCCGAGAATAATGGTTGTTCTATTTATATGAGAGAGATGTTTTATGGTCATGCTCCGATGGTGAATGGTTTATTCTTTATGAATCTCGAGCGTAATGCTACACATATTCATAGTGTAAGTACCAAAAGATGTAAGATTGATAGTGATAGTCCCACATACTTGTGGCACTGCCGCCTTGGTCACATAGGTGTCAAACGCATGAAGAAGCTCCATGCTGATGGACTTTTAGAGTCTCTTGATTACGAATCATTTGACACGTGCGAACCATGCCTCATGGGTAAAATGACCAAGACTCCATTCTCAGGAACAATGGAGCGAGCAACCAACTTATTGGAAATCATACATACTGATGTGTGCGGTCCAATGAGTGTTGAGGCTCGCGGTGGCTATCGTTATGTTCTCACCCTCACTGATGACTTGAGTAGATATGGGTATGTCTACTTAATGAAGCACAAGTCTGAGACCTTTGAAAAGTTCAAGGAATTTCAGAGTGAAGTTGAGAATCAACGTGACAGGAAAATCAAGTTTCTATGATCAGATCGTGGAGGAGAATACTTGAGTCACGAGTTTGGTACACACTTAAGAAAATGTGGAATAGTTTCACAACTCACGCCGCCTGGAACACCTCAGCGTAATGGTGTGTCCGAACGTCGTAATCGCACTCTATTAGATACGGTGCGATCTATGATGTCTCTTGCCGATTTACCACTATCCTTTTGGGGCTATGCTTTAGAGACTGCCGCATTCACATTAAATAGGGCACCGTCGAAATCCGTTGAGACGACACCATATGAATTATGGTTTGGAAAGAAACCTAAGCTGTCGTTTCTAAAAGTTTGGGGATGCGATGCTTATGTCAGGAAACTTCAACCTGAAAAGCTCGAACCCAAATCGGAAAAATGCGTCTTCATAGGATACCCTAAAGAAACTGTTGGGTATATCTTCTACCTCAGATCCGAAGGCAAGATCTTTGTTGCCAAGAATGGGTCCTTTCTGGAGAAAGGGTTTCTCTCGAAAGAAGTAAGTGGGAGGAAAGTAGAGCTTGATGAAGTATTACCTCTTGAACCAGAAGATGGCGCAACTCAAGAAAATGTTCCCGAGGTGCCTGCACCGGCTAGAGAGGAAGTTAATGATAATGATCAAGATAATTCTGATCAAGCTCCTACTGAAATTCGAAGGTCCACAAGGACACGTTCCGCACCAGAGTGGTACGGCAACCCTGTCTTGGAAATCATGTTGTTAGACAACAGTGAACCTTCGAACTATGAAGAAGCGATGGCGGGCCCGGATTCCGACAAATGGCTAGAAGCCATGAAATCTGAGATAGGATCCATGTATGAAAACGAAGTATGGACTTTGACTGACTTGCCCGTTGAACGGCGAGCCATAGAAAATAAATGGATCTTTAAGAAGAAGACAGACGCGGATGGTAATGTGACCATCTATAAAGCTCGGCTTGTCGCTAAGGGTTATCGACAAGTTCAAGGGGTTGACTACGATGAGACCTTCTCACCGGTAGCGAAGCTGAAGTCCGTCCGAATCATGTTAGCAATTGCCGCATTTTATGATTATGAAATTTGGCAAATGGACGTCAAAACGGCATTCCTTAATGGTTTCCTTAAGGAAGAATTGTATATGATGCAGCCGGAAGGTTTTGTCGATCCTAAGAATGCCGACAAGGTGTGCAAGCTCCAACGCTCGATTTATGGGCTGGTGCAAGCATCTCGGAGTTGGAACATTCGTTTTGATGAGATGATCAAAGCGTTTGGGTTCACACAGACTTATGGAGAAGCCTGTGTTTACAAGAAAGTGAGTGGGGGCTCTATAACATTTCTCATACTATATGTAGATGACATACTTTTGATGGGAAATGATATAGAACTTTTGGACAGCATTAAGGCCTACTTGAATAAGAGTTTTTCAATGAAGGACCTTGGAGAAGCTGCTTATATATTAGGCATCAAAATCTATAGGGATAGATCGAGACGCCTCATAGGTCTTTCACAAAGCACATATCTTGATAAGATTTTGAAGAAGTTCAAAATGGATCAGTCCAAGAAAGGGTTCTTGCCTGTTTTGCAAGGTGTGAAATTGAGCTCAGCTCAATGTCCGACCACGGCAGAAGATATAGAAGAGATGAGTGTCATCCCCTATGCCTCAGCCATAGGTTCTATTATGTATGCCATGCTGTGTACCAGACCTGATGTAAACCTTGCCGTAAGTTTGGTAGGAAGGTACCAAAGTAATCCCGGCAAGGAACACTGGACAGCGGTCAAGAATATCCTGAAGTACCTGAAAAGGACTAAGGAAATGTTTCTCGTTTATGGAGGTGACGAAGAGCTCGTTGTAAAGGGTTACGTCGACGCTAGCTTCGACACAGATCTGGATGACTCTAAGTCACAAACCGGATACGTGTATATTTTGAATGGTGGGGCAGTAAGCTGGTGCAGTTGCAAGCAGAGCGTCGTGGCGGGATCTACATGTGAAGCGGAGTACATGGCAGCCTCGGAGGCAGCACATGAAGCAATATGGGTGAAGGAGTTCATCACCGACCTAGGAGTTATACCCAATGCGTCGGGGCCGATCAAGCTCTTCTGTGACAACACTGGAGCTATTGCACTTGCCAAGGAGCCCAGGTTTCACAAGAAGACAAGGCACATCAAGCGTCGCTTCAACTCCATTCGTGAAAATGTTCAAGATGGAGACATAGAGATTTGTAAAGTACATACGGACCTGAATGTAGCAGATCCGTTGACTAAACCTCTCCCTAGAGCAAAACATGATCAACACCAGAATTCCATGGGTGTTCGATTCATCACAATGTAACTAGATTATTGACTCTAGTGCAAGTGGGAGACTGTTGGAAATATGCCCTAGAGGCAATAATAAAAGCATTATTATTATATTTCTTTGTTCATGATAATTGTCTTTATTCATGCTATAATTGTGTTATCCGGAAATCGTAATACATGTGTGAATGACAGACACCAACATGTACCTAGTAAGCCTCTAGTTGACTAGCTCATTGATCAATAGATAGTCATGGTTTCCTGGCTATGGACATTGGATGCCATTGATAACGGGATCACATCATTGGGATAATGATGTGATGGACAAGACCCAATCCTAAGCATAGCGTGAGATCCTGTAGTTCGTTTGCTAGAGCTTTTCTAATGTCAAGTATCTTTTCCTTTCACCATGAGATCGTGTAACTCCCGGATACCGTAGGAGTGCTTTGGGTGTATCAAACGTCACAACATAACTGGGTGACTATAAAGGTGCATTACAGGTATCTCCGAAAGTGTCTGTTGGGTTGACACGGATCGAGACTGGGATTTGTCACTCCGTATGACGGAGAGATATCACTGGGCCCACTCGGTAATGCATCATCATAATGAGCTCAAAGTGACCAAGTGTCTGGTCACGGGATCATGCATTACGGTACGAGTGAAGTGACTTGCCGGTAACGAGATTGAACGAGGTATTGGGATACCGACGATCGAATCTCGGGCAAGTAACATATCGATTGACAAAGGGAATTGCATACGGGGTTGATTAAATCCTCGACATCGTGGTTCATCCGATGAGATCATCGTGGAGCATGTGGGAGCCAACATGGGTATCCAGATCCCGTTGTTGGTTATTGACCGGAGAGCGATCTCGGTCATGTCTACATGTCTCCCGAACCCGTAGGGTCTACACACTTAAGGTTCAGTGACGCTAGGGTTGTAGGGATATGTATATGCAGTAACCCGAATGTTGTTCGGAGTCCCGGATGAGATCCCGGACGTCACGAGGAGTTCCGGAATGGTCCGGAGGTAAAGATTTATATATGGGAAGTCCTGTTACGGGCATCGGGACAAGTTTCGGGGTTATCGGTATTGTACCGGGACCACCGGAAGGGTCCCAGGGGTCCACCGGGTGGGTCCACCTGTCCCGGGGGGGCACATGGGCTGTAGGGGGTGCGCCTTGGCCTACATGGGCCAAGGGCACCAGCCCCACATAGGCCCATGCGCCTAGGGTTTGAGGGGGGAAGAGTCCTAGGAGGGGAAGGCACCTCCTAGGTGCCTTGGGGGGGAGGGAAACCCCCCTTGGCCGCCGCCCCCCTAGGAGATTGGATCTCCTAGGGCCGGCCACCCCCCTTGGCCCTCCTATATATAGTGGGGGAGAGGAGGGACTTCACACCTTGGCCTTTGGTTGCCTCCTTCTCCCTCTCGAACACCTCCTCCTCCTCCATAGTGCTTAGCGAAGCTCTGCCGGAGTACTGCAGCTCCATCAACACCACGCCGTCGTGCTGCTGCTGGTGCCATCTCCCTCGACCTCTCGTCCCTCCCTTGCTGGATCAAGAAGGAGGAGACGTGGCTCTTCCGTACGTGTGTTGAACGCGGAGGTGCCGTCCGTTCGGTGCTAGGATCTCCGGTGATTTGGATCACGTCGTGTTCGACTACATCATCCCCGTTCTTTGAACGCTTCCGCTCGCGATCTACAAGGTACGTAGATGCATCTAATCACTCGTTGCTAGATGAACTCATAGATGGATCTTGGTGAAACCGTAGGAAAATTTTTGTTTTCTGCAACGTTCCTCAACACTGTACACCTTTCCACCTCCTGTGTGCCACTGTGGTAGCCCCTTCCGACTATAAAAGGAGGCCCATGGCATACTGGAGAAGGATTCGGCTCTTTCGAACTACACACTGGCCACAACTAGTTCGAGAGCTCAAGAACTCTCTGAAATACACCCACCAAAGCAGGACTAGGGTTTTACGCATCCTCGCGGCCCGAACCTGGGTAAACGATCCTTGTGCTGTCTACTAGCCCTGCTCTTCTCGCAACCCCGCGCCCCGGCAACCGTAGTAGGGATTCTTGTGATCCCATAGGTGTCGTTCCACACTGACAGCACCATCGTCGAGGAAGCAGGCGCTCGATACATAACCAACTCAGGGATGATGATGCAGCTCAAGATGCTCTCAAAGGCCATGTACAGAGGGCACCGTCTGCTTGATACCTGGAGGTCCCGAGCCCTCCAAGACGATGCAGGCTTTGATGAGGTTAGCAGCAATAACTCATCTAGCAGCAGTTTGTATTTAGCCATTCCACTCAAACGTTCTCGAACAACAATGGTGAACGACGACAAGGACATTCGCCTCGAGTCAGATGGTGCTTTGGAAAGCTTAGAAATTGTTGTTGCTAACATGTCAGAATTTGTTGTGCTTTTGAGCGAATGTGAGCGCATGTCTCGCAGGCCATATGACGTTTACCTTTACACCGACAACTTCATGTTTAGCCGACACGCTGAAAAGCAAAAGCTCTTGAGCTTCTTGTTGGAGCACAACGATCCTTCAGGTGATCATGCATGGGGCGTCCTCCCGCTCATAGGTGGTGTCGCAGTTGGGAAGAAAACCTTGGTTGCTCATGTGTGTGGCGATGAAAGGGTTCGCTCACGTTTCTCCTTTATTTTGCACTTGATTGGAGACAGCCTTTTGGGAATACTTGATGATGGAAGGACACTGTTTGGGATGATGTTGGTAGTTATTGAGTTTTCTTCTGATGTAGATGATGATGACTGGAAAAAGTTTTGCTCGTTTCTCATAAGGATGGGTAGAGGAAGCAAGATCATCATCGTAAGCAAACTTAAGAGATTAGCCCGGTTGGGAACGGTGAAACCGATCTTCCTAAGTGTGCTATCTTACGACGAGTTGAGATACCTTTTCAAGGCACTATCCTTCGGGGGTGTAGAGCCCGCAGAACATCCTCGGCTAGTACAAATGGCAGATCAATTTGCCAAGGAGTTGCACAATGCACATGGTTCACTTCTTGCAACAAATGCGTACGCGAATGTCTTGAGAAGGAATCTCGATGTTCAGTTTTGGCGGCGCATAATGGACAAGGGGATGAGAGTGGTCAAGAGGAACCTCTCCATGTATGGCGTGCATCCCAACACGCTTATACAACAAGGCCATCCAATGGACATAACAGACTTCGGTTTGCATCCACTTAGCATGACACCTTACACAGTTGGTGCTTCAGTGAAGAAGGAACTGCCATGTGTGACATTTGCAGAACTTGTAACAGATCCTAGTGTTGTCCCAAAAGGAGACTTCACTCTAGTTGCATGGGAATCCAGGATACCCCCTCAGAAATCATTTGTTTATATTGTTACAAGTCGTGCTCAGGATACACATCAGGGCAGCGCCTTGCCAGGGAGGAAGCGACAAGGAGTGCCAATCTAGTTTTGTTTCAAGACTTGTAAAATGTAACTCTTGTTGTATTTTAATGATGCATCGTTGCTGTGAACCATTGAACTAAATGTATCACCCATCTCAATTAATGTACAGTAAATCTGCAGAAGTGCGCTTCTTAGATAATGCTTCAAGTCTCGGTCTCTCGGGTATATGCATCATCAACATCATCATCATTGCAATGTTATGGCTAGCATTATGCTATACTTGATAGTGAAATCGGGACAGGTTTAGATACAAATTGCCTAGGAATTGATTTCGAAGAACCCTGGGAGCACTGCGGCATCGCGTTGCATCCGGGAGGCTCCCGTGCCAGCCCTTGAGGTGCTCGTAGTCGAACTAGCTACGCGCCTCCCATTCTCCCTCGCACCTGACGTCGGCGACCGCCATGGCTCCACACGAGGTGCGGCTCATTGCTGGACTAGGGAAGGCAGGAGGATGCTCGTGGTTGCACCCATGGTAGGTTGGGAAGAAGGTAGTTGGGGGTTGCACAGCATCCGTGAGGCGCACGTTGCCGCTGGCGAGGCTCCTGCTCTAGCCCATGAGGTCCTCCCAATCGACCTGGCTAGGCGCCTCCCCTCGTCTCATTTTAAGTAGGTGACCACCATGGGTCCGCACGAGACCCGATGGGGATGCTACGTGCTGCGCGGCGGCGCCGCTCGTCGGTGGCCGATGCCACGGCGTGTTTGGGCTTTGGGGAAGGAAGGAGATTGGAGATTGATTCAGCGTACAACATCGCTGGTAGGCACTGACCGTCGGGCCCATTGAGAAAACGGAAACGGTACGACTATTGCTAAGAGCATATGCAGATCCCTTAAAAGCTCGCCGGTCATGTTTTTCCGGCTAATTTACAATACAAGCAAAAAAAACCGGCCCGAAAAAGTCATGTAAAAACGGCCCTACATGTAAATGTTTTACGGGAGGCCGGAGAACCGCTTTAGAATCCGCAATATATACTAGAGCGAGGCCGTTTTAGGGTCCGCGTTCTTCATTTCCCATATCCCCCTCTGCTGCAATTGAACATCTCCGGCGACAAATCCCCTTTTTTCCGGCAGCTTTTTTGCGGCGCGCGTAGCCATCCGAACCTCGTCCTGATTTCGAGCGCATGTCGCCGGAGGGGTGGCCAAGGGTGATTGACAGCCGCCCGGAGACGCTTGAGCACAGGCGAGAATATTCGGTCCAGCCTGTCGAAGTTGCTCCAGGTCCGGCTGCCGGCGCTGCAGGAGAGAGCGTCGCGCTTCTGCGCCTACTCCTTGCGCCACTCCTCCACCAGCAGGCGGAGGGAGGAGCTCCCGGCCCCGTCGTCATTGTGGCGCTTGCGAGGCAGCGCGCATGGTTCGACGCGAAGGTTTTGCACAGCATGCAAGGTACACTTGTTGAAACAAATATGTTCGCGGACGTTTTAAGAAGGAATCTCCATGTCCAGTTCTGGCGTTGCATATTGAACAAGGGGATAAGTATGGTTAAAAGAAACCTCTCCATATATGGTGTGCACCCAACTATGCTTTAGAACAAGGCCACCCAGTGGACATTCCGGATTTTGCTTGACATTCACTTACCATGACAAACTATACTGTTAATGTTCCAATCAAGGAGGAATCACCAAGTGTGAGACTGGGGGAAATTCTAGAAGATCCTAGTGTTAGACCCAAATAACTTCATTCAAATTTCATGGGAATCAAGGATACACCCTCATAATTCAGCTGCTCACTTTGTTACAAGCTGTGCCCTGGATACACATGAAGTTAGTGCCATGCTAGGGAGTAAGCGGCGGGGAGTGCCGATCTAATATTGTTGCAGAACTTGTGTAATGTAAAATCTTGTCGTATTTTCTGATACATGAGCATCAGATATGTTCGCGTGGCCATATATAGCATCATCTTAAGTGGCAGTTAGTACTACTACTCAAAAGATCTAGCTAGTATTAATAAGGTGGCCAACTAATGAAACATAAATTAAACTAACAAGAAAGAGGTCTATGAATCATCATCGGGTAAATCCTTAAATAACTAGTAATTCAGAATCACAACAGCTTTACCATTGCAGAGAGCAATCAGGTTTGTCCATCAACAGAAGCCTGGCCATGAAGAACACATATGGCGCAACAGTTTTGAGCCATGAAGAACTGGTAGATATATCTTCCAAATGATTGACTACTCAGGAAGTAACTTCAAGTATTTTGCTGTTGTGTAACATAAATGATATGCATATTAATTGTATGAGAATATAGTACACAATGGTAGCCTTTGTTTTCTCAACCTGGATTCAAACACCGTGAGGAATATCATTAAAAAATAATGACGCCATGATCTCCAAAGGCCAAAAACAGGTTAGTGTGGAAGAATATTAATTTAGACCTACCTACTGTGACTATTAAAAATACAAGTCTTTTCATGACGCTTGGGCAGTTGGCTAGTCATTCTCACATGTTTTTACGAGGAGCCCAACTAGTGTATTCCTTGGGGCTAGTAGACCAATATATAGTACAAGTACAGGCAGTTTATAAATGGTACATGTTAGCAGCCGTCTGCCACTCACTCTTGAACTCGTCGCAGTCAATAGTCTGGGGACTTTTCTATTGTGTGCGGAACTCTGCAAGACTTGACAGATGCTAGTTAATTTGTCCAGACTACATAGAGATCGACCAGTAGCTCTCCTCATCGGCCGCTCTTCTTGCTTGCCATGGAAGCTACCATATCTGTAGTCACAGGTGAACTAGTGAGCCGTTTCATCTCCTTCCCGAAGAACCAGTACTACTCATCTTTGAGCGATGCACAATCAGAGGAGAAGGTGGTGAGGAGATTGCAGCACCTCCTGATGAGAGTCAGCATCATCATCGAGGAGGCAGATGCACGGTACATAACAAATTATGGGATGTTGTTGCAGCTAAAGATGCTCTCGGAGGCCATGTACAAAGGGTACCGCGTGCTGGACACCTTGAGGTATCAAAACCTCCAAGACAGTGCAGACACTAACGAGGTTAGCATCGATGACCCATCAAGCAGCATCTTGTATATATCCATTCCTTTCAAGCGTTCTCGAAAAAAAATTGAGAAGCATGACATGGCCATGCACCTCGAGTCAGATGGTGCCTTGGAAAGCTTAGAACTTGCTGTTGCTAACATGGCAGAATTTGTTGTCCTTCTGAGTGGATGTGAGCGCATGTCTCGTAGGCCATATGATGTTTATCTTTACACCAACAACTTCATGTTTAGCCGACATGCTGAAAAGCAAAAACTATTGAGCTTCTTGTTGGAGCACAACAATCCTCCTGGTGATCATGCACCGACAGTTCTTCCAATCATAGGTGGTTTCGGAGTTGGAAAGAAAACATTGGTTGCTCATGTGTGTGCAGATGAAAGGGTTCGCTCACGCTTCTCCTCTACATTGCACTTGAATGGAGACAACCTCTTGACGATACTGGACCATGGAGGGGCCATGTTTGACATGATGTTGGTAGTTATAGAGTTTGCTTCTGATATAAGTGACGACGAATGGAAAAAGTTTCACTTGTTTCTCGTAAGAATGAGTAGAGGAAGCAAGATCATCATCGTAAGTAAACTGAAAAGATTAGCCCGTTTTGGATCAGTGCAACCTATTTTCCTAAGTGTTTTGTCTTATGATGAGTTGAGGTATCTTTTTAAGACCCTAGCATTCGGGAGTGTAGACCCTGCAGAACATCCACAACTAGTATAATTAACAGATGAGTTTGCCAAGGAGTTATATGGTAAGCAAGGTTCACTTGTAGCAGTAAATACGTTCGCCCAGGTGTTGAGAATGAACCTCACTGTTCAGTTTTGGCGTTGCATATTTGGTAAGGGGATAAGACATGTTGAAAGAAACCTCTCCATATATGGTGAGCACCCAAGCAAGCTTAAAGAACAAGGCCTTCCAGTCGACATAACGGACTTTGCTTTGCATCCACTTACCATGACAAGTTATACAAGTAATGTTCCAATCAAGGAGGAATCACCAAGTGTGACATTTGGAGAGCTTCTAGCAGATCCTAGTGTTAGGCCAGAAGGAGAGTTCACTCTAATTGAATATGAATCAAGGATCCCCCCTCATAAATCATTTGTTCATTTTGTTACAAGTCGAGCTCAGGATACACATGAAGGAAGTAGTAGTACCTTGCCAGGGAGGAAGCGACGGGGTGGGCCAATCTAATTATTATTTTTGAACTTGTGTAATGTATGTAACTCTTTTTGTATTTTTATAAACAGATGTGTTCATGTATTATACTGAACAAAATGAATTACAGATCTCAATCAATGTACTGTAAATTTGTATTAAGTATTTGTTATGAGTGGGGGGATCCTGAATAAAGGGCAGACCCCAAGTATTTTATAGCATGGACAAGGGGAAAACAGAAGGAAAATTTGTGTCTTTTATCAGATCCAACAATCCACCGCCTGCTAATCGAGCAACAATACTACGTGTGTGTAAACTCCATGGTGCCATTACATCTAATCGAGCAACGAAAACGCTGCATATAAAAGAGCAAAGCAACGGAGCTCTGATTTATCCTGTGCCGTGGCGTGGAAGTGGATGTGGACGCCACAAAAATCAGATGAGATCAGACTACGGTTCTGGTAGGCGCCGGGAAAATCAGAGCCTCCCACAAAATCAGCACTAATGTTTTTGCAAAAAAAAACTTAGATCGAAACAGGTTTAGAACTGAAACCACCCACGAATCTATTTCGGGGAGCACCGGGGCATCGCTCTGCATCCAGCACTGGCGGGGGAGCCTCGCCGACGGCGTGCTCGCAGTCGACCCAGCCAGGCGCCTCCCTCACCTCGCTTGAAGCCAACGACCACCATGGGCCCACCGTGGCTGGGCGGCGGTGCGGCTCGCCGGTGGCCGCCATGGCGGTTTGGGGATTGGGGGAAAGAATTCATCGCTGGTGGACACTGACCACTGGGCCCACGGGAAAGCGGAAGCGGTTCGGCTACGCCAATGGTACAACAAGTTGGGCTGAAATGTCTCTCAGCTGAGAAAGAAAATGGACTCTAGCTTAGGTTCAATAATCCTTTCCTGCTGGTCCGGAACTTTTTGGGCTGGGCACTAGGAACCTGCAAACAAAATCCAAACCCAAGCAGAGCAACTACCTAATGGTTACCGTCCCCTCAAGAAACAAACTAACGGTTACCAGCTACCACCTGCGGAGGCTCCCGCAAGGGTCACTTTTTGGCCTGAGAGCGTTTGACGTTCATAAAAAAGACAACGGGCGACATCGATAAACCAGTGGAGATGGGGTAGTATTTGACCAAAAACTACCACAATTGGGGTCGACATCCCACCGAACTACACCTTTAAATGATTTTCTGCCTAAAACTATCACTTTTTTCTTCTTTTTTTCTGCCTAGAAACTACCGAAAATGATTGATGGCCATTTTAGATGATTTAACCATGTTTATGACGAGTGGGATCTGACGAAGCTATGTACCTAGGGTAGGGCCATGGACCTGTCCGAGATACCCTCCCCAAGGACATCCTTAGAAGAAATCATCTTTCAATCAACTCAGAAGTGTTCCACTCGACAAGCTCGAAGACACTCGACCATGAAGACTATCACTCGACCATGAAGCTAACCACTCGACCACCAGGAGATCTAAAGTCACTCCGCACGCTAACGGCCGGTCATTAAGTAGCTTTTATGGTCATCATAGCACTTTATTTGTGGCGTTACCAGTAACGCCCGATCTTAATGTACCTTAAACCCTGCATAACTGAGGGCCGGAGGGGTCTGGTGAACTCTATATAAGCCACCCCCTCCTCAGTGTAAAGGGTTCACACCCCTGTAATTCATACATACATAATCCAGTCGACCGCCTCCGGGCTCCGAGACGTAGGGCTGTTACTTCCTCCGAGAAGGGCTTGAACTCGTAAATCTCGTGTGTCTACAACTACTCCATAGCTAAGATCTTGCCTCTCCATTCCTACCCCCTACACTACTGCCAGACTTAGAACCACGACAGTTGGCGCCCACCGTGGGGCAGGTGCCTTAGCGACTTGTTGGAGAAGTTGCGATTTTTTCGATCCCCTTCATCATGGTTTCAGGCGGAGTTTTGGTGGAGGGCCGCGAGATCCGTCTCGGCGCGCTCACGTTCATCGCCGACGACTCCGCTTGGCTTCAGGAGGCTCCGCTCGACGTCAACGCGCTCCCTGTCCGCGGGGCAACGCACTTTCGCGCATGCGTCCGCGGCGTCCTCTTGCGGCAACCGTCGACCCAGTATCGGTCGCCCCCTGTGTCATCCTCCCTCCCTGTTTCCCGCTAGCGCAAGCGGTCCGGTCGGTCGAGGCTTCAGCGGTGGGTGAGACACGCGGTGGCTCGCCAGTCGGCCACCCCCCAAGTTGTGGCGATCGAGCCCGACGAATCTCTCTACGGCCTGTTCGACCTGTTGACTGGCTCCGCAGAGACTGCATCCGAGTACGACAGCAGTGATCCAGCGGTGGAGGTTCTGATGGTCGATGGACCACGCAGTCCTCCTGGCTTTCCCTGCACCGACGAAGGCGATGGCGGAGGCGATCCGTCGCATGCCCATGAAGAGTATCTCCCCGAGCCCCTCACTTCGCTGCAGAGGGAAGAACTTCGTCGTCGGAACATGAATGCGCTGCACACTCCTATCGTTGGAGAAACCCCCGAGGCCCGTGCCTTAAAGGACGCGCGCTTGGCCAACTTGGCTGAGCGCACTCGACTGGAGAACCTCCAGCGAGTACTCGACGAGCGTGCGCGACAACGGGTTCCAGAATCCAGTCGACGTCAGCTCTTTCCGCCACCTACTCGGGTATATCGAGCTCCGATTCAGAATTTAGCAGCTACAGGCCGTATAGCAGAGTCGATTCAGCCTTCTCAGTCAGAGGTTGGCAGAGGCTTGTTACAGATCAGAGCATTACTATGGGCGGCAGGAGATCAGAATTCAGCTGTATCACAGTCACTGCAGATACAGTCCAGTCAGCCCACATCCCAAGATCGCCCCCGAGGCGTGAGGGACGTGGGGACCGGCGTGATCAGTACAGGAACCGTGAGCAGTATGATCACCGACTCGATCGTGATGATCGACGTCGAGTGCCCACCCCTCCCCCAAGGAGTGGATCGTATGTGCCTCGACAACAGGATGACAGACGCCCTCATAGTGTTGGGCGAAGGATTCCAGTCGACCCAGGGAACCAGGCTTTGATGCGAGATCCATTCTCGTTCAGGGTTTAGTCGACAGGAACAGAGCTCATCGAGAAGGTCATGACAGAGATGTACCCACCAGCAGCAGAGTACACGTCTCAGGACCAGAGTGCTTCAGCAGAGCCATCAGGGCCGCGGTGATTCCTCCCAACTTCAGGTTGGCGACTGGAGTCAGTAAGTTCACTGGTGAGTCCAAGCCTGATACTTGGCTTGAGGACTACCGAGTGGCTGTTCAGATTGGCGGCGGCAACGATGAAGTGGCCATGAAACACCTACCTCTTATGTTGGAGGGCTCGGCCAGAGCATGGCTGAATCAGTTAGCACCCAGCAGCATTTACACTTGGGAAGATCTTGCCCGAGTGTTTGTCAGAACATTTGAAGGAACTTGCAAGCGACCAGCAGGGTTGACAGAGCTGCAATCTTGTGTGCATAAGCCTAATGAAACTTTGAGGGCTTACATCCAGAGATGGATCACATTGCATCACACAGTAGAGAACATATCTGATCACCAAGCAGTCTGTGCCTTCAAGGAAGGCGTTAAGTACAAAGAACTGAACTTTAAATTCGGTCAAACCGGAGACATGTCTCTGAGTCGAACGATGGAGATTGCCACCAAGTATGCCAATGGTGAAGAAGAGGATCGACTCCGGAGTGGCAAGCACAAGTCAGTCGCCCACGAAACCAGAGGAGGGAACTCCAGTCGGAAGAAGAAGCGGAAAGCCGAGCCAGCTGCTCCTGGAGAAGCCTTGGCCGTGACTCAAGGAAAGTTTAAGGGGAAGCCCAAAGGGCCTTGGAACCCTAAGAAGGTGAAGGACCAAGACGAAAATGATGTGTTGGATCTGCCATGCCACATTCACACAAAGAAAGATGAAGAGGGTAAACTCATTTACCCAAAACATAGCACTCGACAGTGTTGGCTCTTGATCCAGCAGTTCCAAGGGAAGCAGCCCAAAGATAAGGAAAAGGAGTCGGACAAAGTTGAGGACAAGGAAGATAGTGATGATGGATACCCCCTGGTCAATTCCACCCTGATGATTTTTTCTGATGTTGAAAGCAAAAGTCGATTGAAAGTTATCAACCGAGAAGTGAATATGGTCGCTCCGGCGACACCTAGTTATTTGAAATGGTCTCAGACTGCCATCACATTCGACCAGTCCGATCACCCGACGCACATAGCCACCCCTGGGAGGCAAGCTTTGGTGGTCGACCCAGTTGTTGAAGGCACTCGACTGACCAAAGTTTTGATGGATGGAGGCAGTGGCCTGAATATACTATATGCAGAGACATTGAAAGGGATGGCATTCCGATGTCCAGACTCAGTACCAGCAACGTGAGTTTCCATGGAGTCATTCCTGGAAAGAAGGCTGAGTCACTCAGCCAAATTGTTCTTGATGTGGTTTTCAGTTATTCCAAGAATTACCGCAAAGAAAAGTTGACGTTTGAAGTTGTGGATTTCCAGAGCGCTTATCACGCTATTTTGGGTAGGCCAGCTTATGCACGTTTCATGGCTCGATC